ATCAGGTTTTTGAGTGCGTTTGCGTAAAAGTGTACCTACGTGACAGATTTTTGTTTCTATGTTGTGTTGTCTATATACCACCGTCTAGCAAAGAAAATGAATATATGTTGTTATTTAAAATAATGGAAAATATATCTGTTTTATATAATGAAATAATAGTTATAGGCGATTTTAATTTGAACTCGTGTCCGCAGGTAATTCGAAATTACTTTAAGTTTTTTGAGTCATATTGTGGATTTACTCAGAGAAATAACATAACTAATTGTAAAGACTGTCAATTAGACTTGGTACTGACTACATTGGGCGGGGATGTTAGTGTGAGCGCCTCGGATGAATCATTAGTACCAGTTGTAGATGCGTATCATCCAACACTTGAATTATCGGTTTCTTTAGTAAACGAACAGGGCGCGAAAAAGGCAATAAAACGAGATGATACACAGAGTTCCCACCCGCGATGGAACTTTAATAAAGCAAACTACCCGTTATTGTATTATTTAGTTGGGTCTTGCGATTGGAGACCGTTGTATGAGTTAAGTGACTTGGGAGATATATTACTACTTTTTTATAACAAAATTAATAGTATCTTCAACGAATGTGTTCCGTCTAAAAAGAAATTAAGTCATAAGTCAAAATACAAATACCCTATTTGGTATACTGCTGATCTTATTCGAGAAATAAAAATAAAGGCCAGTCTTCACAAACGTTATAAAGCCAGTAAGTCACGTATAGACTATAACGAATTTTCATTAAGTAGATCGCGAGTTAAAAATATGATAGCACGAGCTCAAGAGATATATAACATTAGTGTACAGAAACATTTAGTGGATGACCCCACGTCTTTTTGGAATTATATCCGATCGCATAAGGGTAGCCGTAGTTCTCAAAATATTATTAAGAATGGGGTGGTTTTATCAGAGAAAGAATGTGTTATGGAATTTGCAAATTATTTTCATTCGGTGTACAGTAGGGAACGGGCTCAACTAGATATAAATAGGGCAATAATAGACGCTAGCAGTATCAATGGATCGGCGAGAGTACATATTGGAAGATTACAACTATCCGAGGTAGAAAGATCACTTGCAAAACTCAAGCCAAAAAAATCCGCGGGTCCTGATGGTATTCCGGCTTATATACTGAAAGACTGTCGCGGAGTACTTGCCCAGCCTTTGCTATTTATTTATAATAAATGCTTGGAGGTAGGTATTTTTCCAGATATGTGGAAGGTTACTCGGGTGGTTCCTATTCCTAAAAGCAAATCTAGGTCATCTATAGACGAGTATAGGCCAGTAGCTGTATTATCAGCACCAGCAAAAGCTTTCGAAGCAATATTACAAAGAAATATATTTGGACAAGTGAGTGCACAACTGTCAGAGGCACAGCATGGGTTCCGTCCGGGTCGGAGTACCACAAGTAACTTATTAAATTATATGACCGATATTTTACCGGTAGTTGATGACAGTCGAGGACAGGTAGATGCCGCATATTTTGACTTTCGTAAAGCCTTTGATCTGGTGTATAATGACGTCTTGCTTAAGAAGTTGGCTAGCGTTGGTTGCTCTCCCCATTTATTGAAATTCTTAGCTAGCTACATGGAGGATCGACAACAATATGTTGAATTTGCCGGTCATCAATCACAGCCATATTTTGTTAGATCAGGAGTAAGCCAAGGGAGTAATCTCGGACCACTTGAATTTATTATTATGATTAATGATTTGCCCAATGTCGTTACGAATTCAAATTGTTTATTATTTGCAGATGATCTAAAATTATATATTTCGGTAAAAGAGGAAAGGGACTGCTTGAAACTTCAAAGCGATATAGATAAAGTAGTAGATTGGTGTAAAAACAATAAACTTCAATTTAATATTTCTAAATGTCAGACAATTTCATTTACAAAAGCTCGTAAACCTTTACAATTTCAATATAAAATTGATATGGTACCAATGAAAAGAGTAACAGAAGTAAAAGATCTCGGGGTATTATTTAATACGGAACTGTCATTTAGAGAGCACATAATCAGTATTTGTAAAAAAGCATACCGAAATTTGGGGTTAATCTTACGTAGATGCCAGGGGTTTACGAGCATGAAAGCAATTATCACGTTATATAATGCCTTGGTACGAAGTCAGCTCGAATTTAATGCAATGATTTGGAGTCCGCACCAAATTCAATATAGCGACATGTTAGAGCACATACAGAATAAGTTTGTTAGGTATTTATACTTTAGGCAATACGGAGTGTACCCTTTTTATCCCCTAATGTATCCTACACTCTTCATTTTAGGAATGGTGGGATACAATGAATTACATGTGCGAAGGAACCTTGCATTAGCAGTGTACTTATTAAAAGTATTAAGAGGTAAAATACATAATCCAAAGGTGCTAGGCTTGTTTGGTTTTAGAGTTCCTAATAGATATATAGAACGCCGTCGTCGACCGCCGTTACTGGCAGTACCGTACGGTAGAACAGACATCTTGAAAAAATGTCCGCTGACACTCGCATTACAAACCCTAAATAAAATATCCGAGAGTGTAGACATATTTTGTTGTTCTCTGAGTGAATTCTCAAAAACAGCAATGTATATATTATGTTATACCTAGATAGAGATTTGAATAATTCTGTACTACTACTAATTGACTTTGCTTAACTATTGCATTGGGTCACGTAACCTGTAAAAATAGATTAAGTTGTGTGTGTATAAATAAATAAAATAAATAATAAATAAAATAAATAAATGTGTAAAAAGTGGGCTGGGCCCAAGAGCATTACTTGCACCCGGGTGCCTGTTGTGCTTGAGACGAGCCTGAATTAATATTTACAGAATAGCTATTTACACACTTATATATTTTCTAAAGTATTGTATTACAAATGTATTTGAACAATGGGACAAAATATTCTGGATTTCTTATATTTGATCAGTTTTGCATTTTTAAGAACTATCTGGATTTGGTAAAAACATCAAAATACCTCGAAGTTAATTGTGAATTACTACGATGATATTGAACTAAATTTATTCCAGTTTTCGATCGAGCGTCAATAGAGTAGTGGGCCTTCTAACTTTAACGTATATATATATATATTTACTTTCGTATACAATTATATCAAGGGGTCTTTCGACCTATGCTTAAAATAACGAAATGTGTATTAGAAACAACTGAACAAGCTATTCATAGTCCATATAAAACAAACAACAATAAGAATTATACTTACGTTAAAGTTAGAAGGCCCACTACTCTATTGACGCTCGATATATATATATATATATATATTTTAAGAAACGCAAATAAAGCAAAATAGTTTTTTCTCAATACACTTATATACAAATAAATAAAATTGGAGTGCATGTTTGTAATGTTAATTAACCGCTTTTCTTTAAATATATTTGTATGTAAACACGGTACATCTGTCTGTTTATTCCGCTTAATCTCAGAAACGGCTTGACCTATTTTGACGGGACTTTCACTAGAAGTTGGCTTATGTAATAAGGGTTAAATTAGTCTTTACTCATAAAACATCGTCAATTTAAATTGTATGTATCTAATTCGATCGATTTATTTGAGATCCGTATCAAATCCGATACCAAACAACGTTTTTATAAATTAAGTATATTTTTAATTATGAAATGTGTCTGTTTATGGTTTCGTGTGGCTAACCAGTTGGGTTAGCGCGTTTAATCTGCAATTGCGAAGATTAATCAACCACCAATCCGATAACTAATCTTTGCGATCGTCGCGTAACCTCATGGCAGATCAAACGCGCTAACCACTGCACCATCGGACTCTTTACTTGTTTACAAAGAAGGGATGTCGCCGTATTTTTTTGTTAAATTGAATATCTTTTAATGGTATTGTAATATTGCGCAACTGAATCGCACCTCGATATTATTGAACATAAAATTAATTTCATAGTCTAATTAAATTACATTGCAATAAAAAACATGCTTAATTCTGCACTACGATTTTTGTTCTTCATTCCAAACCTGAATTTAAATGAATCGATTCATTGAGAAAGTATTAAAAAAAACCGACTTCAAAAAAAATTTTTTTTGTTAAAAATTTAATTTTATATCTTGATTTTTAGTGAATCTGTAGGTAGTTAGATAACTCATTTTATTTTTTGTTACTTTTTGTTTCATTTTACATCGATAAATAATAAAAACAAGAATATCATCAATATATTTAATGTGCTTGTGTCAACAAAAGATAACTACACCAGCGGTTGCAGGAACCACAGCAGATTTGCTGTCATTTGTTGAAGAGTTCCTTTGTATGTCTCTGAAAATCTTCATATTCTTCTTCGTCATCTTCTTCTTCATCGCGAGACTAGAAAGGGACCTCCTCAAAATACTACGATGCTCTTCCAAACCATTATATACAGCTTTTTTGTTACTTTTTGTTTCATTTTACATCGATAAATAATAAAAAAAAGAATAACATCAATATAGCGTAATACGTATTATTAGAGATAACACAAAAAGTACTTATTAGATCTCGCTCAAATTTAGCTTTTGAATATAAAAACAATCATCAAAATCGGTACACCCGGTAAAAAGTAATGAGGTAACAAACACAAAAAAAATACAGTCGAATTGAGAACCCCCTCCTTTTTTGAAGTCGGTTAAAAAGAAAGTACTAAAAAGTACCTCACTAGATGGCGACTCTAGGAAAAGTTGGTTCTTGCCGGAAACAAATGGACCAAAGATAGTCATTTCTGTTCCTTTTAACTAACATATTCAAAAACTAAAATTGGCGAAGTTTGAAATTTAGATATCAATACAAATACGAAAAAGAGATAAATAGAATATGAGTAGTTTATTGAGTTTTGAAAATTAATTTACTTTATACATGAAAGAAATCTCGGGAACTAATGTTTTTTTTAAATACTTTCTTATTGAAAAATATTATTGTACGTACATAAACAGTTCGAAGTGTTTAATACTTTTGTTTTGATTCTAGAATCGATAGGAGTATCGATGTGTACTATCACCTTAATCGAGTATTTACTTTCTTATTGGACATCTCTATACGATACTTGTTTGCTTGCTGGTGGTTGACTGACTATTCTATTTAGATTCTAATTGTGATTGATTGATGTTTATTTGATTCTTTTGATATTGTTGTTTAATATTGTTTGTTCGCTGTTTATTGCAAATTTTTGATTACTGTGCCACGGTTATTTTCGCAACAATGGCTTCCATGGATTTTGATCTCTAACGCCAAAAAGTATTTGTGTTTTGTAAGGCGTCCAGTGACTTGTGAAGTGACGCGCTACCCATCTAAAGGCCAACAACAAGCTATAAATAAATTACTTTTACAGTGTTAAAAGCAATTTGTAAGACTCTAATTCTTCTCTTATTTGTGATGTTCCCGCATTCCATCAGCGCGGCAGAAGAACAGAAGACGAATTTAATACCGAAGCTTCTTCATTCAAAAAGAAAAGGCATATTTATACCCATGTTCAGAAATACTGTACTTCGATGCACAAACACAACATTTCATCTGATAAAAAATAGTTTGAGTGGATAAAATATCTAGAAAGCAATCTAGAAAAGATGAAACTTCTAGAGAGCGGACGACTGGAGGCTCTTAGCAGAGCGTTGTCCATAATAAATGGTGACAGTGCCGTACAAGGCCGCGTCGAAAGCTATAGCTGTAAGATGGCTGGTGGAGAAAAAGCATTTTATAAAAAATTTACAGCAGATGGGGAAACAACTCATGACCTACAGGCTTTGTCCCCACCTGAAGGTGTTACATACTTCAGGTACAAGCCTTATTTGATATTCACTAATACATTAAAAAAGAACTATTCAGTAATTACAAGCTCTTAAAAATTTTGTTGCTGAGACTGCTCAATGACCTGACAGCAGAGCTCTGATTCAATAGGTTATAGTTATAGCAGATTAAATGTTCTGTTCCATGATAAAGTATTGATATAATGTTAATTCTTTATCAAGTCTATAATAGTGATGTGCAGGATCATTAAAAATGTATATCCACAGATATGGATCTTTATAATTAATAAGTTTTTCAAGTTCCTCTAATTTTCATTGTGTTTGCTTGTGTAATCTAATGTTTACACTTTATATGGTAGGTAGTACTTACTAGGTATGCAGTATTAATTTACTTTATTAGAATAATCATTCAATTAGAATTTATTTTTTGTTTTTCTCATAATTTTATAGTTATAAAAGTGATCTTTTTACTTATAACTTTCTTTTATAGTGATCACATTTTAATATTAAAATACATTTAAGTATTGGTTTTCTCATTTTCTTATATTTATAAAAATGATGTTATACCTTTGTATGATATTGATCTCATTATAAAGATACTATTATAAATGTTTGCAATATAAAGGTTCCAAATATTTGATTTTAAGAAATAAAAAATACTTGAATTGAATTTATTATAATAGTTTTTTAAATCTACCAATCACCCTTATATAGCATTTCATCCTATCAATTGAAAATCGATAAGTTAAAAAATTGTAAAAGTTCAGCGAGAAAAGTAACAGATATGGATACGGATATCCGGAACATCACTAGTCTATAATAAGGAAAGAATAAGAGTTTTCAACAAGTTCTAATAGAGTACACTATAATAAGTTCCTATAACCTAGTAGGAATGGGCAATACAAATCATATATAGATATTGAAACATAAATTGTATTAATATTGTAATATCAGATATTGATGTGCACAGAAACCTGCAAAACCAAAATGGACATTTGGAGTAGAAAATCTTTATATTTTTTCAAAAGAAATCTTATTTCCGTATAAATTGACAAAGGAACACCTTATTTGTTACCATGAATGTTTATAGGAATTATTTATTGAAAAGAAATGAAAGTTTTTGTGCTCTGTAGAACACTTTTGGTTTTGCGGGTAACTACGTGTTTGCTTTCCAGCATTAATATTTTTTAATAGAGATCATTTTGTGAAGAATACGAAGCATATGAAAAGAACCTGCTTGTGAATAAGTATTGCATGCTGGTTTATTTTCCCATGCTAAATTAGCAAGTGCGAAGCTGCTTGACTTGTTTTGCTGCTTGTTTGTAATTTTGTTTGGCTGGCTTGATGTTACCGAATACAGATTGATTCACACATATATAGTTATAAAAAATGTATAGTTTCAGAATCTGATATTATCCACTGCTATAACCTAGTTATAATTTAAAATATTGCTCAAGCATTGACAAACTATGATCAGCAAATGAATTTTAAATGGTTGGCACAAGCTATCTCTAAAATTTCCACTTAATGGCCTGCTGTGAATAAAGTAAAGTCATCAACATTACTTATGCTGTCTATATTTATAATATTATCTAATAAAAGCTACATACTTATTTAATTTTATATATCCGGTTTCTGTTGTGCATGTCCCAAGGTTAACTATAGTAATCCTTTGTTTGGTCCCACTATCAGTAAGGTTCAAATTCAATTCTATCTTCTGAAAGGCAAAATTTATTTTGAAATAAATTCACCTTAACAATTTGTTTTCCAGTCAAAGTCTGTCAGGAGATGAAGAAGGTGTACTTTGTGATACCATATCAAGAAAGACTTTATTCTACCTCATTGCTACATTGAATGCTGCTTTCCCAGATTATGATTTTTCATTGGCAAAGGTATATTTATTTATTGTTGTAATATGTCTGTGTTTATGTAAAAGTAAATAACTATTAAATTTCTATTTTATTTTTATACAGAGCAGTGAATTTAGTGCAGAACCTTCATTGAGTTGGGTGCAAGGTGCGGTAGATGTAGCATTGTCACCTATTGGTGGTACACGGTGGAGACAACTGAGGCCAGCTCTTTGGGCTGCTATAGACGAAGAAGTACTCCTCACGGAGTGTCGGATATATAGTTATAATCCCGACTTAGCAAGTGATCCTTTTGGAGAACCTGGATGTCTTTGGGCATTTAATTACTTCTTTTACAATCGGAAGTTAAAACGTATTGTCTTCTTTACCTGCAGAGCTATGAGGTATGTCTTATGTTTATTAGAACTACTAAATTATGTTATTTATGTGTAAATATTTCATTTTCCTTTATGTTTCAGTCCTGTGTGTGCTGTTGACTCTGGAGTTGACTTTACAATGGATGATGATGAAGACTTTAACTGAAAATTATATGCTTTTCTACAAACTGAAAGCATTATTTTGAGTCATAGTAACAAAAAGATAAATTATATCTCTATATGATACTTTACCAATTTATATATATAGGTATATTAAATACCAAAATAACCAACTCTACTTAAATTAAATAAATCATTTGTTAACATGCCACTTGTTAAAGAGTCAACTAGTGTGCATATTATTTGAGAAGAGAGAGTTTTGTATTATATTATTTTATAGATTACTATTTTTATGTGTTGTAAATCTTAAGTTTTGCTATTAACAAAAGCTACCCTTACTGTGAAGTGCAATGTTTGACATTGTCAACTTTTGTTAGTGCAGTTCAACAGCAGTTTTACAGTGACAAATAGTGAAAAGTTGCCCCACTATCGAGTATAACATACCAGGTACTCAATTTTACTGTTCCTAGGGTAACAATAAGTTGCGTGTTTCATATGTTTTTGTTGTTTAATTTTAAATGTTTTGAATATTGCTAAAAAGTTTTGTTAAATGTAAATAACAATTACTTTTTTCAATGAACTTTTATTTGGTAGTATGGTCACAAATATAAGATTTTTTTATTTGAAAGTACGAAGATAGTATTTAAAATATTAAATACATCTTCTAAATTCGTCGTCTGAATAATCCGCCTTTATTTGGTGACACTGCCAATTAAGATTAGGCATAGGATGTTGTGATTTTAGTAACAAATTTTGTAATACGTACTAGTTGTTAATTTAAATCTGACTTATCAACATTTTAATAATAATAATAGTTTGTAACAACTATGTATGAATTTTAATTAATGTTAAATACTTTGCAAATTGATCTTACTCAAAAATCTGACGGCCACCAATCTAATACAACATTCAGTAACTGAATATTTTTAGAATTAAGTAATTTAAACGCTAAAGTAGGTACATTTAGCTATTGTTAACAACAAAAACGAAATAGACTGGATGGGGGGACACTATCACTATACTACCGATTGACACGCCTATGTAACTTTTCAGAATTCAGGCATTGCTATTTCCAGCGATAATATACCAGTGATATTATTTAAAAAAAAAACATCATTCGTTTTATTCAACAGAATCTCAATTACTTACATTTTTCATTGTACTATTAACCATAAATCCAATATTATTAATGAAATGTCTTCGTTACACATCAATGGAGACAGATATATAATACTTAATATTGGTCTTCGGGTAGTTCACTGGCCAAACGTAAGTACTTGAGATTATTTTGAGATGCGATTATTATGTAAACATTATCAGTGCTATTAATAAATAAGGTTTAGCGTTGGAGTAAATATACGCTGAGTCTGACTAAGTTCAGTATTAGTCAATAGTCGTAATGTAATAACGAGGAAGTATTTTAAGAAAAAAAAAGAAAGCACTAAAAAGCACTCACTAGATGGCGACTCCGCTTAAAGTTGAATTTTGCAGGAAACGAATGGACCAATTATAGTCATTTCCGTTCCTTTTAACTAACATATTAAAAAACTGAAATTTGCAAATTTGAAACTATACAAATACGAAAAAGTAGAAATAGAATATGAGTTGCTTATTGAATTTTGAAAATTAATTTACTTTATACATGAAAGAAAACCGGAAAGGATGTCATGGAGAAATCAAAAAAGCACCATAGCGACACCTTGTTTGATTTCGGGAACTATTTTTTTTTTTTAAATAACTCCTCATCTAGACTTAGAAAAATTTAACCATGTACGAGATTCAACGGTAGTGATATTTACTCCTAGAAGGTAGGAGATTTGTTTATTCTCTGTATATTATAAACTAGCTTTTGCCCGCGACTTCGTCCGCGAGGTAATGTTACATTGAGCAGCATTTCTAACGAATATTTATTCATTACATCGTGTTAAGTACATGAATTAAAGTTTCATTCCCTATTTTATCCCCTTAGAGGTAGAATTATTAAAATTCTTTCTTAGAGGATTTCTACGTCAAAGTAGCTTTATGCATGCTAAGTCTCAGCCCGATCGTTTTAAAATTGACAAAATTACATACAAACTTTCATCCCCTATTTTATCCCCTTGAGGGTAGAATTGGTAAAAATATTTTCTTAGAGGATGCCTACGTCATAACATCTACCTGCATGCCAAATTTCAGCCCGATCCATCCAGTGGTTTGGACTGTGCGTTGATAGATCACTATGTCAGTCAGTCACCTTTGAGTTTATACATTTAGATTTGGACTAATACTAAAATTGCAATTTTATCGCAAATTTACTCTGATGCTAAACCTTGCTTATACATAGCACTGTAACATAATCGGCCTGCTGGACTAGAATACAACGGCTTTGTTTAGTTTTTATATTATAATTTTATTAAGATATTGGGTTCTATTCCCGTTTTAAGGAAGTTGATATCATTCAATGCAATAGTGTGTGAAGTTTTTAGAAGATAAGTTGACTTTTCAATTCTAAGTTGAAATAACATACCCGTTCACGGTTAAAATTTAGTCATCATATATTTGGTATAATGGTATCGTGGGTATTTTTTATATTTCCCATGAAATTATTTTCATTGGCGGATACTACAACTACATGTAATTGTTCATGGCTTCATTATCAATTAATAAATCAACGTATACTTACTAGCCTTTATTTAGAAGTTTATACGTGGCTTAATGAGAAATAAATGGGAAAATCAACACTTAAACTAGTATAGATACGATAATGCACATATTTTAAGGGGTTTTAAAATAATTGTCTTTAAATCAATAATATTTAAATATCATTTTCATATTTTGCATGAATATAACCTCAGACAATAAAGTTACTATTTTGATATCAAACCTTTAGTTACCGACACATAGACATTGCTAAGTTTAATTCACTTTTCCTTATCAGAGTAACTTAACAGCCATTGTTTATTAATAAATTAGGCAGGTACAGAACTAATATTACTCACCAATGTACTTTCACAGAAGGCTGTTTTAAAATTTCTAACCGACAACAGTGATTCGTTGGTCGGGGTCTTCATTTGCCTCTATAGGATGAAAAAAAAACAATTACCATGCTTACTGGTCAAAAAAATATTTAAATTGTCTTACTTAAAAAAAATTAGTTTAGTTTTTCTCAGCAAAAATAATGAGAGTGCACTTCAGATTATTCATACAAATCTTTAAAAAACTTCAGCGTGAGTATATTGGCGCTGCTTCATTATTAGAATTATATATCTATGATTTAATGTGGAATAAAAATATTTTCTTTGACAAATTACATGGTTTGACTTTTTACTATCTACCCATAATGATCCTGCCCTTACTATCAGTCTTACCCACTCTGTATATATTCGTGCCTAATATCGCAACAATAAATACTGAACTGCAACTTACAGAATGTAGGAAGGAATATATAGGAGTATGATCTCTAACGTGTACCGATTCAATAAAACAAGTTTATTTTCTCAGAAAATATAATGACGAACTTCAAAAACATAATAAATCTTTATCGATCTATACAACAGAAAAGGAGACTCCAAAAAATGTCATAAAAATAAAGTATACACTAAAGTCTTACACAACTATGATATTTACAAGACCGCGCAGCGGACTAGTCCGCTCGAGTTTCATTATACAATCCAGCATTCACGTAAAACATTTTAGAAATGCTATCATTTTTACAACACATTGCGATTTATCGCCAAATTGATTAAAGTATACAGAAGTCTACTTCGGTTACATAAATGGTACGGTTGCCGTGTATGTGGCACTTTATTTAGGAATAAAAGCGCAAGAAATTAGAACATAAAATTAGATCAGCCATACTCAACCTTGTCACCAACCTTTTAGATCGGCCTACTCAAAGTGGCAAATTGTAAGCAGGCCAGTCCTTGATAGTTTTGAAAAAGTGTTCAGAGTACCATAAATTGCATTAAAACATGACGTATGCTTTTCGTTATTAAGGTACCTGCATTTGTCATATTTAAAGTACGTTTATATCAAGCTCAATAATTTGCCACGACTGAAACGTGTTTAAACGGGTTATAGGAGCCAAAAAGGTTGACCACTACTGATCTAGATAACGAAGCCAAATAAACAGTTAAGAAGGGACTGTTCTCTAAAAAAATCTCTGTTCAAAGCCAGGAGGAGGCGTTATAACAAATTAACGAAACGTATATTTTATTAAGGTCCTCAATTAGACAGTATAAAAAAATTTACGTATTTTTATTTGAATTACGAACTTTATTCGCGACGTTAGAAAGGTAATAAATGTAGAATCGGTTGAAAGTAACGCAAGTAGTGAAAACAAATTTTTAAACGAGTTTTCTGTAATGGCCTCGAATGCCATTATAGAGGGCAGTACTGAAGCGTCATGCAGGTCCAATCAACTGTCAAAATACTGTCGAAAAATGCGTCAAAAGACTTTCATTTTTCGCGAAAACCTATACGTTTGAGTTCAATTTTAAGTTCGACATTTTTTCTGTGTCCGTACTTCTAGGACTACCAGGGTATATAAAACTGCCGAATTTCTCCAGTTGATTTTAAATGGTAATTAATATATTGATTATAGAGTTCAAAATCAAATGAGAAAATCTGACGTAGCCTGACGTACAGCCGTGTGTTGCCATTAAATAAAAAATAATTCATCAAAATTCGCCATTTGAATCTGACACACAATCCATCCTCTGGTGAAAAATAACAAAGTCGAAAACACTTATTATAAAATATCAATTACAATACAAAATTTTCTATGCAATATAGAAATTAAAATGATAAAAAATCACATTTCATACTTTATAGTCAAAGGCAGAGTGGACTGCAAACAGACGCGGGAAATGACGCGTCACCATAACCACTTGATGTCCGTGTCGTCTTGTCGTCAGTCACGTTATTATCGAGTATGCTATGTTATTTATAGTTTTAAACAAATAAATATACTAACTTTTACATCAAATTTCTACACTAGCGTTATCTATCAACAGTCATGATTTAATAAAACTGACGTTCCACTTTGACTACATACTCACATTAATGAACCTCGACACGGCGGCATCGCGACATAATGCCGGAATGTGCAGAACGATGCACGGATATCGAGCATAAAGTCGCGTCTACACGGGGTCAAATCCGACTTCTAAATTGAGACAAGACATTACTGAACTTGTGTAAATTGAATCGTAGAGACGCCAAGAATACTGACTGCCCTGCGATTCTGTAAAAATCCAAACCCGAATTCGAATTCACTCACATTCTATTCCTGTGTCTTTTCGAAACTCACTTCACTTATGTCACGAAACGTTATTAAATGGATGCCGGTTTTTTGATTCGGACACCTGAGTGAATTATAATTAGGGTTAGGATTTTTACAGAATCGCAGGGCTGGTGACTAACACCGTGTAAAGTATCTTTTACTGTCTCTATAGCCTGTGTTCAGCCTACGCACCGAAAAATCAACACGGCGAAAAAACGTGCGCGTTGAAATGGCGTTAGAATAAATAGTATTTAGATCATAAAAAAAAGATTAAAAAATATTATACAAAAACAAACTAAGAATACAAAGTATGAAAGCGATTCAATCGTCTATTCTCCGTCCAATAATAAAATGTAGTATTGAATTATAAGAATATATAGTTCATAACACGATCAAATTAAATTTACGTATATTTATGCGTCTCGACGCTCAAATGCTTGAGATTGCAAATCTTAAAATATATTTAAATTAAATAAATTCAAGGAAGAAATAAAAGCATATTAAAATTTTAAACTTGGACGACATTGTTGCAGGACTACGCATAGGTACAAATTTTATGTGATCGTGTTAAACAGAGTAAATTCTTGATTATTAATTTATATTCTTCAATCAAAGTGAAGCAGTAAAGCTGGACCGAAAAAAATAATGATTTCTTCAAGAAAAGATAAAATATAAAAAAGTGACTTCTGTCAATATCTTTGATATTTTTCCATTATATTTTGATCACTGTTCTATTTTGATTAAGATTATGCGTATCAATTACTTAGTTTTTATCGCTCATGCCATTCAGTTATACTTTATATAAACATAGTAACGTCTTAATAATTTATGGAAAATTAAAATAATTAAAGAAATAACAAATAGATAGTCATTACCATAAATAATAGTGCACCGGGAGAACATAAACACCTCTTTATCTTTGCAGTGTACGGTGCTAAGAAAAATATCCGTTTTTCGGGTAGGTTTAGACTTAGCTATACTCTAGAGCGCACTGGTACAGATTGAAAATTAATATTCATAAAAAAAACATCGTATAAATTAATCTTAAATTAGATTTGAATTAAAATATAAGGGCGATGTCTACATTAATTATTACATATATTACAAATAGATTATAAATAAATAATATTTACTAACCATATGAAGAAACACATTGTGAATCAGATTTTTTTATACATACATACAGGATTTTTTCGACAGTGCTCAGATTCATTATATTGATTAGTATATTTTCAGTGATGAAATATGGCACTGAAAAGTGGTCACTAACTGTGGGCCTTATAAACAGACTGTCACTCAAGAGGGTGACGAAGTGGATAGTGCTAGAGTATATCTGCGAGATTGAATCAGAAATGTAAAGATTCGCATGTGAATCAAAGTGTACGACATAGGCCAAAGAATTTCGAGTCTAACTAGTAACAGGTAAGGGGCACATAACGAAAAACGGAGCATAGACATTTCTCTCACAAGATGGACGAAGACAAAATTTCTGAACTGTTTAAAAAATAATGTATAACAAAGCACCAAATAATAGTTTGTGCGTCTTTTATTAGGTTTATTCTGTATAGTATGATTGTTATATGTCTATTGCACGAGCATAAATATCAACTGGGTGATTATTTTTGACAAGGTCAACTATTATGCTTCTTTATTCAATATACTATGTTTTTAATATTATGCTCTTAACTTAAAAAATAATTATGTATATACACATATAATTTTGTTTTATTGGATATTTAACCACAAACGCAACCGTGTGCTGTCATTTAAAGATACGATACTTTTAAGTAAACTAATTTAATTTTATAGGTTTCTATATTTTTTTTTTTTTTTGTAAAACATAAATATTTGTTTATCTTGAATATAGCAGTGTCCTCTATCAAATAACCAAATAAAATAATTTTAATTCTCCTACAACATTGCACATTATTATTTATTTATTTATTAATAAATAAATATAATATTATTAGCGTCTATTCGCATAATCGACAGCCCACCGTCAATAAACGTAGACTTGGTACTCTCTTTGAGTAATATCTATCATCATTTTGCCTAACTTCGTATAGCGTGGTCTAAAACTACCCTTTGTGAGAGATACACGCTTATATACAGTCGTCGGTCGTTTGTCATTCGACATGACCTAATAATGAATATTAACATGTTTTATTCAAAGTGAAACGAATGAGCTTATTTCCATATAGCCAAGCGAACGTCTTTATGTTTATACACACTCAGTACAAAAATAAATAGTACAAAAGTATACAACAAAAATGTACGAGTACTAAAAAATAAATCGGAGTCAATTATAGTCGATATAAATAATTATTCGATTTCAAGTTCATTTATTCAAGCGATCGTGTAGCTCTTTTAGAAGTATGATTATTTAATTACAAAGTGAGTAGATAAAACTCTCCTATTATTACATTCATAAAGAAACGTGAAACAAAAGTACCACCTACGGCTAATAGGAATGAAGCTCGCTCGGATCTTAACCGGTTATTCGATCTCACGCGACCGCTCGCTTCGGATACGCGACGTATACGTTCTACTCGTATCTATCACGTGCACGATATGAATGGAGGATAACGCTGTTATGTTAGTATACCGACGCACTCGCTCGCGAATTCGAAACATTTGCGACACTATGCGAACGTGAACAGGGTTGACACCTTTTGAAAAACAAAATTCGTGATTAATCCTCAGAAATAGGGACGGGCAACCCTGAATGGGAAACGTGCGTCTATGCAACAACCTTGTTCGTAGTTGCCTACGACACCGTACTGACAAGGTCGCAGCCATTTCATAGAACTGATAATACAGCGAGACAAAGCACTTGTGAAACATTGTCATACAACTGACAGGATTTCGCAAATGTTTTGCATTCGCATGCGATTGCGTCGGTGTACTAACGGCGTAACAGTGGACAGTCGCGGGGCGGGTCAGCGTTTGTCCGGCGGGGGCGTGAGCGCGGGGGCGGGGTCTGTGTCGGGGGCGGGCGCGGGTGTGGGGGGCGCAGGGGCTGGGGGCGCGGGGTCGGGGTCTGGTCGCTTGGCGCGCGGCCGCCACGCGTCCAGTAACGCCTCCACGCGCTCCTCGGTGGGCCCCCAGCGTGCGAATCCCGCGGCGTTCTGCAGCCAAACCACCACGGTGCCGCCCCCCCATCTGAAGTACACCTCGTTCCTGTCACACGACACGGTCGCACTCAGTGAATCGTCGTCTTACCGCTCGTAACACGAATAGAATAGCCGTTACGAAACTTGTAATACCCGAAAATTGCTTATGCGCCTGGCCACACTTTTTGGTGACGTAATCGTGTTCAATCATTACCGTTTGCAAATAAACACTAGTCGTCGAGTACATTTATTGGGTATCTTGAGATCACAATAAATGTTTGGTATGTTTTTGTTGTTTTCGATTGTTATCACTTGTTATGGTCGACTAAAATAGCTGTTATTATGATTTTAAAAAAAAAAACAAATCTGTTTTCATTAAATATAAATATATCTATTATCTCTCACTTCATTATTACTTTTGGCAATGTTTTAATAAATCGTTATTCATTGCGTTATTACTAAGCAAATGTAATTCTTTCCTTTTTTTTTGTTTTACATTACATTAATTTTAACATAATATAAATTGATATTTTTGAAAATTTATTGTAATGCAATAAATTATCAAAATAAAAGTTATAAAATTATTATAACAATATTTTGGGCATTATTCAAAAATATTTCAATAATAATTAATTTCTTGCATTTTTCAAATGACGCGGGTGTTATTTAGACAAGGTTCCAGCGCATTAGCAATTTAAGGGACTTACACCACTGATTATGCACGAGCATTATTTGTTACGAGCAAAATATCATATTATTAATTTATTAGTAAAAAAAAATATTCTGTTTTTGTTTTGGTATCTTTCGCACGCATTACTTTTATATGAATGTTCAATGTTGATTGTGCTTTAAACCAGTTTGTCTATGAATTTGAATATATATATTGCTATTATAAATAAGAAAGATTTAATAGTTTGGTTGTTTGCTCTAACACTACTGGACCAATTTTCAAATTCTTTCACCTACGAAAAGCTACATCATACGCGGATTACGTAAGCTTGGTTAATTATTTCCAATGCAATAAAAGTGGAACATTCTACCTCCTATAGATAAACATTGTTCATGAGCAGAATGACGTAAAGGTGATATTTTAGTTGTATTGCAAAAATTTTCGCTTAGTAATTTATTTTACATTTAAAATACAAACCATACGTAACAATTAAACTTACTTTGGAAGTACATGCTGGAAGCCATGTCGATATTCATGTTCAAACGCTGGTATAACCACCTGAAAATTATTTAAATAAACACACAACACTGTTATTTCAGACGACATTTTAATTATTATTCATAATGTTACTTATGTTATACTTAGTAATCTAAGTACCCAATGTATCGTATATTAATTCCATTTAGGAGCTGCTGTGTCGAAATTTTCAATTTTGTCGTAGATGATCTTGGAAACAAAAACATATTATTATTTTTCACTTATTGAATGGTGCAGGATAACTATTGGTATAGTTTGTAGTGGCTTCGCTTTTTGTAAATTATGCTTTACTTTTCAATTAAACCCAAAATTGCAGAAAAATATTTTCATAAAATGGATGATGGGACACTTTTGAGTTTTTAGATTGAGCGGGTTTAAACAAATTTAGTTCGTAGCGGCCACAAAATTATGAAATACCATTGATTAAACGTAGAAAAAAATCTTATTATTAACCAATAAACTTCAAAAATAGCTATAAGTTAACTGTGAATATGTACTGTGAATTATCTACGATAATATTATTGAACAAAATTTGAACCAAATTAATTATTACTTAAGATTTCATTAAGATTTAATATTTTTTAAGAACAAATTTATTGTTCTCTTTCATAAAAACCATAAATATTACTGCAAAATTACTCAATTGAGCACAATTTGTATGATCTAAATTGATCTAATGTAGGGTTCTTATGTAGCGATGGCAGTGTTCACTGACCGAGCTGTCAAGTTCAATCGCTAGGAAACTAACGAATATCGCTAAATTGACGATTGAACTCGGTTCGCGCTTGACGAATATCAATATGCTTAACTGTTGAGGCTAGCGTAATCGTTAAATTACAATCGCTGAGTTAACGACCGAAGCCAAACCATGAGCTCTTTAAGCAATGTTTAATCCATGCAGCGAGTGAGATACCACTATTGTTCCGCTAAGCCGGATTATAATTTTGTTGCCCCCTTTACGCTAAAGATCTTGTTTCACAAAAATGTTTACAATTCACACCCGTACAAATAATAATAATAATGGCTGTTTTACAAATGATTAAGTAGTAAATAGATATAGATTATACCGGCCATAAAAAAGCTGTAATGGCCTAACCTCGGATCTACAACTTTTTCCAACCAGGGCACAGGAAACTTCATATTGCGTGTACATAAATCCGAAAAAAATCACTTCATTATATTAGTAACCCGATTTTGGCGGATGGCTGCAGCCCATTTGGAGGCGCGGAGCGAAATTCCCCACAGTCCCGCTTAGTCCGTACTGGTGATAAGGGGCCGTCCATTAATCACGTGATGTTTTTGGTGATTCATGGTGAGGTTTAAAACTACCCCCTCCTAAATACACGTGATATATTACTACACCCCCCACATTTTTGACGAATCCCTCCCCCCCTTTCGAGCCTCACGTGATTAAGGGACGGCCCCTAAGAGGTGACGGTCACGCCCCCCCCTGACCTGTTTACCTGTTTCCGTTTGAAGTGGCTGGCCTGCAGCTTGTGCAGCGCGTGCGTGGTCCTGTCGGGCCACTCGGGCAGCACCACCACGAAGCTGAGCGGCTCCGCCGAGTCCTGCAGCAGCCGCTCCATGTGCCGCAGCGCCGCCTCCAGCAGCTCCTCGCAGTACGGCGGGTGGGCCACCAGCGACCCAGCCACCGGCCGCAACTCCAGAAATGGCCTGACCCACGCAGACATAGAGGCCTCATTGTCTAATCTCAATAACTAGCGCAATCACTTTCAATTTGACATTTGAAGGAAAATCACAAACTTCGATCTACAACTAATTATTATTAGATTTTTTTTTTTTGAAAGATAACGAAGGAACGATATCGTTAATTTGACTTTAATTGGCAAGAGTTAGACGCAATAGTAGTGGCGGAAATATTAAAATTTTTGACCATTCAAAGCTTGAAAAAATATTATTTATTTTCATTTAGGTAAGTTACTAAGTTTTTATTATGATCTTTATCTGTTCCAAAAGCGACTGCAACTTTAAACGATAATTCCTTAAATCGTTATTACAATCACTACACCTTTGAAGGTGTTTGCAACAGATTTTGGAATTAGACTACTAGACCACAATAACCATTATAAGTATACGAAAATAACGTGACAAAAATTATCCGCCAGCAAATCAGCAAACATGATTTTTTGGTTTTTAGTTTATCACCGTGCTCTTTATTGTGAAAGTCACCTAATAGGGTATTTTCGGTGGTGAAAAATAAGTTACGAAATTGCACGAAAACTTAATACATCGTAATAAATATAGAGATTCAGATTTTGAGTTTTAAAGTCGCACGATTATCTTATTATCTTAAAATTAAGATTTTATGTCTGAGTGTCACACGTGACGCACTACATCCCCCTCGCCCCTTGTGACATTTCGTGATTTTTACGAACCCTTCCCCCCCCCCCCCATTCGAGCCTCTTATTAATCGACGGCCCCTAAGACAATTAAAATTAAATTCTGGTTGGACAAACTTTTTATCTAAGTGGACACCTCCTTAAAACCTGTACTCACCCGCGCGAACCAAAATAAGAATCGGTATCAGCGAACGCCGAACAGTATTGTCGAAAATAACAATCGAGAGGGCTCGCAAAACACTCGAATGTGACTCCAAAGGATCGGTGCAGACATTCCAGCACTGGTATAGGTAACGACATCTGTGTAAGGTGCGCCTCGCCCCCCGCGCCCACCCACGCTGCGTACCGCCGTAACAGGCACCATACACGAGACAGAAACTGCTCAAACTTCTTGTCATCAAAGCAACTGTAGCGGTACAAGCATTCCTGCAAAACAAATAGACATTGGTCAAAGATAATGAATGTAACAAGAAATGGCTCTCATTATCAACCATGAGTTGGAAAGCCAGTTGGTGAAAGGAAAGTATATCTATCGCGTCGTGTGTATAAGCAGTCTAAGCAATATATTCAAACAAACAATACGGATGATGACTAAGTTTTGTTTGTTTGTCCGTCAGGTAGAGTGTTAAAAAATATTAAACACTAATTTTTCGTAATCATAAAATGACAGAGTTACATGGAGTTGAAATTTCGCATGACGGTACGTTTTGGTACGTTTTCTACTCAACTGTGACGTAGCGAGCCCCCACTCCTCAACTTTAATGCCTGTTATCTAAGCTATTTCTTGTTAAATTGAAGTAAAAAAAATACTTATCTAATATTTTTCTATTGACGGACTAAATAGAATTGCATTTTTTTTTACCCAGTCGTCATCCCTATTTAACTCAAACGACCAAAAATAGAAAGGCTTGGACATCCAGGTACTATTCCTCAAAAGACTAGGTATTCTTCAGTTTTCAATAATTTCTCTCAAAACATGTTACAATTTTTGTCGTTCTTATTAACGTTTGTTTATGCTCAAAAAAACTATCTTCATAATTTCTTAATCTTGCAAATAAATTCGCCGACAGCGCCACGCCCACTAATAGTCTTTTTCTGTCTATGAAATATATAAACACTGTACAGTACAATCGTACCAATTTCTGGAGATAAGTTGCGTTGAGCACCTGGCTTTCACCCAGGTACCGTAGTAGCGCCTGATCGCGATCAAGGAAGTGTTCGATGAGTGGCGGCCGCGGTGCAGGGACGGCGAACTGGACGGGATAACACCACACCTTGCGCAGTGCTGCTTGTTGTAGAGGAGCCGGCAGTTCCTACAAACCAACATGTACATATTCCATTAAAATATGCCTAATTACAAATATAAACTTCAGCCATATATTCATATCGATGGTGGAAAGCAAACATGTTACACATTACCGCAAAACCAAAATTGTTCTTTAAAGCAGATACAACTATTTTTTTCGAAATATAATTCTTATAGACGTTGATAAGTTGTTTCAAATACGGTTAAATAAGGTGTTTCTTATATGGAAATAAGGTATTTTTTGGAAAAATATAAAGATTTTTTACTCTAAATATACATTTTGGTTTTGCAGGTTACTACTATGTGTTTGCTTTCGTTGTACTACGTTACGTTCATCCACACACGCAAGGCATTATTTTATTACGCGAGACAATTTCCTTCAGTTTTTGATCCCTCCCTCTCTATATAAGAATCGAGATTTCCTCCTGTTTAATAATTATTATGTAAGAAACTAAATGGAAAAAATGACAATAATCTTCAATTTTCGGCTTTATGTGATCTAACGTAAGAACTAAACAGACTACCTCATTCCCTCTTGTAAGAAAAAAATAAGACATGTTCAACCCTTACTCTTTAAATCATCTTATGTAATAATGGCACGAGGAAATCGATGGCGCAATGGTTAATGCGTTTGGTCTGCAAGGCATTATTTTAGCGACTTTTGTGGGACCGGTCATAGGATGGGTTGCCAAGTTTTTTATCTCAAGCTCCACTATATCTTTGAAGGTACGTTAAACCATTGGTTCAGGCTCCATCCTCAGTTGTTAACACCCACCAACCTGCACCCGGCTCGTGTGGTGGGTTATAGCCCATTCTCCCTATCTATATTGTAGTGCAGAGCAAATACTCCGACAATACTTCCCATATATTTAGAAATTAGTAAAAAATATATGGGAAAACACAAATCGGAATTGGATGTAATTAACATAAAACATAATAATTTTGCAATTAGTGCACAAACATTTTTTCCTAGGGTTTTTATTAGGATATATAAGAAAATATTTTTTTTTTTTTTATATTTGACCAATGTAAGTTTCATTTTTTTTTAATATATTGCAATTTGCGATCGGTCGCAAGAACACAAGCTAATTTGTTGATGTAGGTGGAGATTGGTTTAGTGAAGCAGTCGTCACCGCTTCTACTAATTAAGTATGTGGTCTCTTTTCGACTTTTTTACCACTTTCGATGGTTCCAACAACTCAGTTATAAGAGGGTTTGGGTGATTTTTTAGACGATCCTTGTGTCTTTTTCGATATGATTCGATTTCAGCTGCCACTGTTGGCAAGTTCAGATATGCATGGATTTCATCGTTCTTGGTGAACCCGGGAGCATTTACAATATCCTTCAATGTGCTGTTTTGTACTCGTTGGAGACATAGTTTATTCGACTTGCTCGCCACACTCCATATTTGGATCCCATATATCCAAAACGGTTTTAAAACTGAATTATATATCAGCAGCTTCTTCAGTACTGAGTTCCTTCCCATCAGCCAGAATAAGCTTCGATACTTTGTGTAAATTTCGTTCCATTTATTCTTTGTGTGATTCTTCCAGGTTAAATGTTGGTCAAGGAGGAATCCTAAGTATTTCACGTTGTCAGTATATGGTAGGATATCATTTCCAATATGGACTGGGGCACAATTGCCTTTCCTCAAAGCGAATATAATATGTTGAGACTAACTAGCACTTGCGCGTATCCGCCATTTAGAAAGCCACCTATTTGTCGCATCAAGCTGCTTTTGCAACTTATAGCTGGCTATCCCAAGGTCAGTGTCGGTTGATAAAAAGGCTTCATTTTTATAAAAAAATATTTACATATAAATATTCCTTATCAATATTAAATGCCAAAGCTAAACAACTTCAGCGAGGTCTATTTACCTTCAATGTTATTAGATGAAAAGAGACAAATATTTAAATTTGTGTACTTATTACAAATTTGACCTGTACATTACATACCTGTATTCCATTTTCTTTCAAGAGAGCACTGTGTTTTTCTCTGATTTTTCTCGCATATTCAGCTGATAAGTGATATATTTTCAAACAAATCCCTTCCACAGAAGCTTTTACAGTTTCTGCTAAATGAGGTTGACACTGTCTCTAAAAAATGAGGAGGAATATTCACATTATTCCAACCTATAAAAAATTATGTAGATCAACCAGATCTATCTATCAATATAGATAAAAAATACCTGAAAATATATATATTTTTTTATTTAACATATGCCATGCAAATGTAAGAAAATATCATTATGGATAATTTAACATCGACCTGATGTTGAGCACATAGCTATCAGAGCATAGAGGTTCAGTCAAATAAAACCTACTTTAAACGGTAATAAAGGTTTTATTTCTCTGTAACGAAATGCTGCGACAGCACTGAGTGTGGTGTTAAGTACAACACTGATTTTATTACAAAATAGCATTGCTGGTTTCAACCTGAGACAATCAAATTGTGTTGTGTTAACTTCGTTGTTTCATACCTATTTTCACAATACAAGTGCTTTAGCTAGTTACTTTGGAATCTGAGCAATGCATATGATATTAAATAAAAAAAAAAATTAACAATTTGGCACTTTTTATGAAATCTATTAAAACTTAAAAATGTTAACAGAACATGAAATATTAATATATAACTATACAAAGAATTAAGAATACATACTCTTAGATGAGCTAATCTATCTTGAAAATCATCATATGTCGCTCCAACTGTCCGTCTTAGCCACTGGAAAGTGTCTTCAGCATTCCATTTGACAACTTTTCGACTCTCTGGTGAAGCGTTTCTTGATTCAATCATTTTTTTCGCTGCTTCTGCATATCGTGATAACTGTTTTCTAGCATCACCAGTAAACTTTGGATGAGTTAGTTTTATTGGAATATCATTCATGATTTCTTCATACATAGATCGAGATATTTCAGGGAAACAGTGACTAGGCAATAGGGGATCTGATCCCCCTTGATCATTTACTTTTCTCTCCATTAACCATCTATTAAAGGAATCTTTAGGAGCATCAATACCTTCTCTTGTATGACAAAGTTCCTGATAGCACTGTCTCAATTTATTAGCTAAAGTAAATCTAAACCCTTCAATTTCTGGATGTGGGTGTGGACAGATAGTGGGAGGGCGTTCATATATAACGACATTAGTTGGAACTTCTATATCCCAAGGTCCCGCTAAAACAAACTTTTTTGGTGGAGGGCCATTATCTTCCGAAGGTCTTCTTTTACTGACACCAGGAGTCATACTACCGGCAGGAGGGCCAGTATGACATATTCCAAGTGGATCAGTTATAGGATCAAAGTCTCTTTTCACTGCAGGTAATTCCCACATAGATTCACCGGAGAGTTTATTCCAGAAATATGGTCTATTCTCTCGTTTAGACCAGTACTTCCGCCAACCTTGTTGGAGAAGGTCAGGGTGTAAGTCGGCAGCTAAATGAGGTGCAAGTGGAACAGGAGCTCCAGGTGTTACTGGCGTTTCCGCACTTCCTCCTGGAGATGACTGTATTTCAGGGGATGAGTCACTATGCGAAGTCGAAGTTTCCCAAGTTGAAGATCCGGCAATTCCTTTATCACGAACATCATTCATTTTGGCGCTTTAATTATTAAATAAAAAATTAAAGAGTATGTGCTTAAGTTATTGTATTTAGAATACACTTAGCAAAGTAAATATCTTAATATTGGATTAGAAACATAAATTCATTCATTATTACGATTCTAATAAGCAAAATATTTTCGTATCACAAAACCACAATATTGATATCACTGAGATACAGTAAAAAAGAAACAATAAACATTTTATAGTTTTGATACCACACTTCAAAGAAAATTATAAAATAAATGCGCATAAAAAAATAATCAATGTTTGATCACAACAACGAGAAACTGTTTCGTATAAATTGAGAAAAACTAGCGTAGCTCCGAAGCACCGCCATCATGAAATGACAACAAGTGACATGACATGGAGAATGACATGTAGACATGACATTTATTTTTCTTAAATGGCAATACTATAAAGAAATACCAAAAAAAAATCGAAATACGAAAGTTTAAGTCAGGGATTGAAGATTATACTTTAATTTCATATTTTCAACATGTTATTATAATTGCAGAAAATCGCTAATGTGCCTGCCCTTTTGACGATGTAATAGCATTCAAATATCAGTACCGTTAACAAATAATAAACACTGGTTGACGAATACACTTATTGAGTTGGGTTGTGTTAATTTTTTCTTTCTTGCCTTTTGTGCTATCTATACTTTCTATTTACATATGATGACTATTTTTATTTTCATATTAAGCCTCTATAAAATCACGTAAATTTTCTACTTGTATCCCTTAGTGTAAAATGGTTAAAAAGTAGTAGTATGTTTTTTCACGATTAAGATAACGAAATAAAATTTACTTTGTTGCGAAATTTCGATAAATAATGTTTAATGATTATTTATTTAATACTGATTTTCGAAAGAAATGTTTATTAGTGCATTTGTACCGAATTGATGTAATAAATACATATTATATATGAATAATCGTATATTGAAATTACCACACAAACTAGGAATTCACTAAAATATGAAAAAAAAAATACTGGTACGATATGACATAGTCCTAGGCTCTTATGAGATTATATTTATTATTTTCAAGGTATTAAATGAATGAGGAGTGCGTCACAATTCTTACTATACTCTACCTTACTATAAGCTTACCTATACTCCATTCATTATAGCATTAGTCAGAGGTAAAATAAGGTTCTTTTTATGGTATACTTTGTGACAAAATATCAATAATCATGCAACTCTTAAGACTGACGACTAATTTGCTAAATATTCATATATTAATACCAGCTGCTATACTTAACTGTTATCATTTAAGCTACCTATTAAACAAATTTATGAGTATTTGATTAACTTAAATTATTTAATAACTATTACAATAAAAAGTGTTCATCTTAAAGAACCTAAAGAAGCAGGGTTGGATAATTTCGGCACGATTCTCATGTCACTATAATTCTACCAAATTTAAAACGTTGCCTAATCCCTTTAAACATTTCGGCAGTACAGTTTTTTAATTTTGTCAGACTACGATGTATTCATAACTGTCAAAATACGTAATCTGAGATTGTCATCCATCGTGAATGCTATTGCCTTTCTTGTTGTTTTAACGTTTCCCGTGATTAAATTGTTATTGTTTTATTTTTGTTTTGTTTTTGTTGTTAAGTTTTATTAAATATGGACGATGCCGGTGCAGGCCCGAGTAGCCTACAACAATTACGCTCTAACCCCCATACCTACCCTCAACCTTTGACATTTCAAGAAGTTTTTCCAATGTCTTCATCAATAGTCTAATGTCTGAATAAATGTTATAAAAATAATAATAAAAATTTCATTTTGTTTACCATACTTTACTGGGCATAGATATAACTAAATTCTATTCTAATTATAATCAAATCAACAGATAGATAGTTTTAGTTCCATGATGGCTTGGGAGTAAAAGATGAATTTAGAAAATGCTGAACTCATCTCAAACCTGAGATATTGTAAAAATTAGAAAATTGCACAGCTCTTTCAGACTCCCTAACGTTCAAAGTTTCAACAAAACAATAATAAATATTTTTGAAATTTGTCTTGAAAATAAAATGTTCTGCACTGCTGCTTCTATGACCCTCTTTTTTCTAATGTTATAATGAATGGAGTATAAACTAGTATAAAACTTGTTTCATGTCAGGATATTAAATATTAAAATAAAGTCAGGATAAAAATTGTAAAGACTGTAATGAGGAAATTTTTGAAAAATAAATTAAGAAACTAAAAATAATTATGTCACTAGATGGCAGCACAAACTGAAGGACCTAAATGTCAATGAGGTAGTATTAAAAAAATATATGTCACTAGATGGCAGAAGAAACGGTAGAATCTAAATGTCAATTCATGACCTTAGACCAAAGAGAATAGAATTGTCAATGTTTTTATGGATTTGATAAGTTGAATAGGGTATTTGATACTTTTCTGAAAACTATTTTAAATCGTTGTTTTCCATATTATAAATACACTGTCATAATATTTCATTGGAATCTTTTCTATTTTTGGTGAAAATAATTGTTAAAATTTAAATAACCAAAAGCGCGCGAAACACGCTGCTCTATGTAATGGCGCTGATCGTGACATCACAGGCCAGTAAATATGTCAAATCGATAAGTATCAACTGTCTTTAGAGTAAATTGAAATAATAATTTAGAAGAGAAATTTGAAAGCGTAGTGTGTATTTTTTACGATTTTATTTTCCTCTGCTCTGGATATTAGTACATTGTGGCACTTGACAATGTACTAATACTTCTATAAATAACAAACAAACTTCGAGTCTAGAAGAAAATAGATTCACAATCACAATAGTATAGTAGCTATATAGAGTAGAGATGGGTGATAAAATTAGGTAAGGATTCGCTAAAAGTATTGAAACTTTTTTATTTTATATCGATACATTTGAAGGTTTTCTTTTTGGTTTTTTCTTTATCATAAACATTTAAGACTCAAATATATTTGTTGACAGGGCTCGCACTTTACAGCCTGTCGACCTACAAATGGATGAGATACATGCATGTAATATCTCTGTCCTCTAAATGCATGGCATTTGATAATAGATATCAGATCCCGATGATTTTTTAAAATTAGTTTTTAATTAGGAGAACAGTATATATCATCAAAATCGACTTCGTAATTTTGAATTATTATATTAAAGTTCAAGAAATGAGAAAAACATGTAAGTTGCTCTTTTTTTAAATTGCTGGCGTTTTCCCTAGTTCTTGGATTTTTTAAAAAGCTTAGTAAATGATTCTTTCTTTTTACAGGCATCGATATTATATGTATCTTTCTAACAATACTTTGACATGATAGCTGATGACGTCACATGCCAGTAAACAGAATCGTGTATGGTTGTGACGACGACCAATTATAGGACGTTTTCGTCGTTGAATAATTCCTAAAAATGTTGCATTTTCTTAAGTTATTTCACTAAATCTAAACATGTTTTTTTCTGCAGATGTTAAGAAATAAGCTTAATTAGATTATTATCTATCAGGATGACCACAAAATGAAACTTATTTTCGATAGTGTCAAATACCCTATTAATATTAATGAGGAAGTATTTAAAAAATAAAAATTAGTTCTTGAAATCAGACTAGATGTCACTCGCGATGTTTGGATATATTGTCTATGATATTCTTTCAAATTATGTTTCTGACGTAATAAAAGTAAATTGAGTATCGAAAATTCATAAATATGACATCGTTTCGTGTTTCTTATAATATCTACCTTGCAAATTAATTTTTATTTATTTGAATCGTAAGTTTCAGTTATTTATTATATTTCGTGTAAAGGAACGATGTTTAGTTTATACGTCAACATTAGTGATGAGCCAACTTATTGGTTACTCGTAACTTTCATCCGAAGTCAGGTTTGGAATGAAGAACAAAAAGCGGAGCTTGTATTTGTATGTATCATTATTAGATACAATATAATTCATAAATAACAATATCATTCTACGTGTATTTCAAGAATAAAAATTAGTTCTTGAAATCAAACTAGATGTCACTAGCGATGTTTGGATCTTGTCTATGATTCAAATTTTGTTTTTGACGTAACAAAAGCATTTGAGTCGTAAGTTTAAGTTATTTATTATTCAACATTAGTGATGACTCAACTTATTGATTGCTCATAACTTTAATTTACTCGATCTATCCGCATTCAGGTATGGAATCAAAAACAAAAAGTGGAGCGCTAAATTCAGCTAATTTTTTTTATGTGCCATATTTCGATATGTGTCATTATGCAACCACTTGTCGAATTATATTAATATAAATATCAAATCAATTCAAACTAGGCCGTTACATAGCCCTTGTGAAAGTCAAAAACTTTGCCAACGGTTTGCAAAACGAAGTCTTATTGAAATGTGAGTTAATTAGACTATTAATTCACTTTCCATTGTAAGATCTGAAATCCTACATACTAATTGACAAATCAATATACAATATTCATAATAAAAGAAAATTGACAAAATTAAGTAGTCCAGTACAGACTCTTGGGGTGAGTATTGTCAATAATAGATTGACTTCCTACGCCGCCTAGTCTAGAAATCAGTTTTATTGAAATGTATTATTTCTTAACTACCTAGAGTAGTCTCGCTGTCTTAAAAATCTCTGCGGTTTCGTCGTGTGAGTCGGGTCGTAACTTTCCGTCAAATATAGTTGAGCGAAGCGATAGCTGACTCATGTGTCAAACTTGTCAACGGGTGCTGCCAGTGGGAGTTAGTCTTCACTAGACTACTTATTTCGTTTATTTTCTTTTATTATGTATATTGTATATTGATTTCTCAATGAGTATGTATGACTTAGCAACCGTTATATTTTTCAGTAATCGAAAAATGATGAGAATACGCTCTGTAGTAGCGAAAAGTAACAAGTGCTTGAAAGATTCATCAGTCCTGTTAGGTCCTGGGTAGCTCAGTGGTTAGAGCAGTCGCCCGGATTACGAAAGGTCGTGGGTTCGATTCCCATCTCAGGGTGCCAGGGACCAAGTGGATTTTTTAAGCATTTTGTATTAAGAATAATATACACTTCACTAATAAGAGTCACTTTCTCAAAACAGAGTCTGTATAAATTTTTAAACTTTCGCGTTGCATCATCTTGAGGTTAAAAGATCACCAGCCTATCTGCCTTATGTCGAAGGAGTAATCGACAAGATTGGTCATGTACTACGTAATTACTCTGTGCCGACAGTATATGCTCCTGGCTTAAAGGTAAATAACATCGTGGGAACCAAAGAGTAATGCAATATAAAAAGGGAGTGGGAACGCTGAAGGATGTTTTACCCTTATAAATACCTGTAAGGGTAAAGCATCTTTCAGCGTGTATAAGATTGAATGCAGTTGTGATCGTTGTTATATTGGTCAGACGAAACGAATAATAACTGAAGCAATTTCAATTGCGAAGATGGTTTTAAATTATCAGCAATGTGGAATCCAGTGATGATACGGCTGCGATACAGAATAGTGATTCCGTTAGTGTTTTGTGTGGTGGTACCTGGAGAAAAAACTGGACTATAGAAGTGGATTCCACTACAGAAGATACCAAGCCGGTGTAACCTGGACGAAACGTCGGGAAATATAGGTAGGTGAAAAACCTAACTATCGAAATTCTATCGCGTTAATCGTCTTATTCAATCAGAGTCTGTATCTCGTTAACACAACAAAACTAATATACACATAAATACTTAGAGTCACTTTCTCAAAACAGAGTCTCAATCTCACACACGACAATCTGCGACACAAAACG